TTAAAAAAAAACGCACGCTGTTCTCTACTTTGAGTTCAGGGCCTCTGTCAGGAGGCAGGTAACTGTTTTATCTTACGTCCACTGGAGACCTGACTGGCCATTCTTATAGCGACAGTGCTTCAAGCTGTTGTCCTCATACACATTATTCTTCTGGTTTACCTCACTTCAGTAACAAAACGAAGTGCTATTCCGTACCTAATTCTAGTCAATAAGGAAGAACTGTTAATAGAAGGAATAACAGATATTTGAGCATAAGGCGGCACTGATTTCAGTTTGTGGTTGGCAGGGTAGGGAAACAACTGCATGACATGCACCCAAGATCGGCATGCGTGGGTTCAAAGGTGCTCCACTGGAGGGAACACTGAAACTGCCGAGATCATGGATGCCTTTGATTATATTAGGGGTTACAAGAAGAGCCAAGAAAGAACAGGACTGATTGCTCAGAGCGGGCAGGACAGAGAGAAAAGATTAGATAGAGAGAAAGAAGAACAACCCAACTTATTTTACTGCAAGCTCGAAATGATGTCAACTGTTACAGAGCAGGCAAAAAAAGTGAGTGTTCAGTTTGAGGTCTGCTCCGGTCAGACACTGACATGCTGAGGTATGAAAAAGGGTGCCTAGAATAAAGACACTCAAAACGAGGGTAAGAGAAATGAGGCTATTTCGCTTAAAGAAAAGTAGAGGAGTAGAAATAGGGGTAAGTATAGTTGGCAGCAGCTGTGCTATTGTGGAATGAATCTAAAATCTGGGAGTCAAGAGTCCAGGCTATACCATTTCTGAGCTGGGTTAATAAGACAGCTAGGTGGCACAGCGGATAGTGTTAGTTAGGTCTGGAGTCAGGAAGACCTGAGTTCAAAACTGTCCCCAGACACTTACTAGCTATATGACCCTGTTTACCTCAGTTTCCTCATCTGTAAAATGACTCAGAGAAGGAAATGGCAAATCACTCTAGTACCTTTGTTAGTATCTTGTGACCCTCAAAAGGGGTCATGAAGAGTTGGACACTCCTAAAAATGACTAAACTGCTGCTTCTTAAACAGTTTAAGAAGGGCTGAAGGGGTCGAGAGTAGAAAAAGTTTAAGAAGCCCTGGACTAAACAACAACAGCTGGGTTAACACGAGCAAGTTACTTAACCACTAGGACCCTCAGTTTCCTCATTTGTAAGAAGAGATAATTACATGTAAACTTATTATAAGGAATTCTGTAGGTTAAAATCTAGATAAATGTGAGCTTTTCAGTGATCCACCAACTTCAGTTTCCCTGGCAGCAGGATTCTAGGCATGTACCAGTATGTCTGGCTGATTCTATGATTCTATAAATAAAAATCTATTTGGACAACTGCTGAAAATACAGCATATGGTACTGGCATGGACACTGTGCTCCTGTTTTCTACCAGACTCTGTGACTGATCTCAGGTGGGAAGCATCCAGGAGATATTTCTGGCTGGTAAACATTACTGAACTTACTCACAGGTCTGCATTAAAGTCAGGAATCTGGCTGAACTATCCATTATTTCCTATAGCAAAGCAGAACTGAAATAACTCAAAAGAAATGTGAGATAAGTAAACCTAGAGAATCCCCCCTAAATGTTCACATGGACTATTTGTGTCCAACCTGGGGTAAAACATTCCAAGCTCCAATTGGTCTGATCAGTCACATTCAGACACACTGTAACTTGACTCTAGCATAGTGATGTCATTTTGGTCCTCTCCGAGAATGAGGAACAACAACTGACCAACACTGAACACTTTGCTGTAAATCACACTCTCAATCTGCATAGTGAAATAAGTGACAACATCCTCCTGGAGTTAACTGACAAAACCCTATTAGGAGAAAGAAGTTATATATGTGACTCCATCACCACTTTCTTTGTTCTCCAGGTTTTTTGATTATTTATTTCATCTTTTAAATAATATGTAAGTTCTGGTGTTTTTTTCTTAAAGGGATGGCCAGGCTTTAAGAATAACTGTGGCTGCAGACAGAACAAGAGAGCTACAAAAAGCTCAAAATATAATCTAATTGTTTTGTTAGCATGACTAGCAGAAACAGAACTATAAATACAATTTTTTAGTAGAGGGTTTTTGGAAAATAATTTGTGTAAATAGGACAAGAGAGTATATTACTACGGATTATCTACTGGGATATACAAACAGCTCTGAATACAGCAGTAACAGGTCTATCCACAAACCTGGGAAGAACAAGATGCACTATTTCAAGACTGGTAAACTCCAGCTTGGATACCTTAGCACTGTAACTCAATTACAGTCTCAGTCTGAATTCCCCTACATGAGGTTCTGTTGATGCACCACGTCAATGTCTTTTGCCTTGTACACCTCAAGACTCAATGACACACTCAGTACTTGTGTCCAGACGCAGAGATGTTTTTAAGACATTAATAACTTAGAAATCAATTCTGTACATTTTGAAATATACTGAAAAACTTTGTAAACAGTCCAGTCTATTTAGTGTCATTATTTTTCAAGTCTCCTACTTGGTTTCCTAAATCACATACCCTCTACTTTCCATCTATTTCTCATTGGCATACTCCACTGTAACCATGAAAAGTTACAACTCTTCAGATTTGGGTACAACATGCCATCTTTCTCCTTCTTCAAAACTGCAATGGCATGTAAATCTAAAAGGCATTAATTTATTTAATCCTAGAAGAGATGAGTATTTTTCCTAGCTACTCTAATTCCTTGCACTTCATGATATAAAAGGAAGTACAGCTAATTAAGCCCTGATCTTTAAACACCAGAATAAGACTGCTGTCTCTAAAATCATGAGCTTTCTATAATACTGAACATTTATCAGACTCTTCTTAGTTCTAGATTACAATTTTAAGTTAGTTCTATATGAGTACAAAGGAAATATGTCAAAGTGGAACACTACATTATTTGAGATGGGGTGAGAGGATGGAACTCTAGGCCCTTTTACTTTAAGTACAGTGAAACGCAACAAAGAATTCAATTAAGGGGCTCAAAGCAGAAAAGCAAATTACAAGTCTTTCTGCTAAATGATAATGTCAACTTATTTTGTTCAAGAGGTATCTAGATAGCAGTATGGGTAGCTACAACAAAAAAAGCAGTGACCCTGTTTGAGTCCAACCACATGCTTCTTTTGTGCTGTGTGTCTGTATCTCTCATCTTAAACATTTAAACTACCAGAGCCCAGAAGCAGGTCTCAGGTGGATGGTTTTAAAGACTCCAACAAAACAGCAAGTGTGTCTTTTGGTCATTACCAGTAAATTCTCTCAGTTCTCTGAATTTGCAGAGAGCAAATGGGCAGAAATCTTTATGACAACTTCACATCCATGTTTCCAGAGCATTTTTTCAAATATGCCTCAAATAAGTTAGCAACAAAAAGCAAGTGGTTTTCTTTCTTTTCCTTTTAGATAACTATCCTACTAATGCCCTCACTTTCAAAGAGGGGTTTAAATTTATAGACAAAGGTTAAGTGTTCCAAATTCTTCAAAGGACCTAATCGTTGATAAATCATCCATGATAAGATCTGTGTAAAGTACAAATAAATTTAAGACATCTCTTCTAATAAATGAACAGGATTGGTAAATGCAGCCAATTCTATATTATGCATGGCAGCATATTTGTGGCCTTTAAAATTAGCCTGTGGCTCTGGATTTAGCCCAATTCCCATGTTCCTGGTCTTAACTCTTCCATCAATTTTGCATAAACTACCATGGAAGCTTGTCTAAGAGGCCGACTTCTAGGTCTGAAAATGTATATTCACATCTAGTTACTTTCCTACTTGCTCCACAGTGCCAAAGTATTAATCTAAATTTTCCTAAATACAGAATAAAACATAAAACATCTAAAAATATTAGAATTTCTGATTAGCTTCCCTTCCTGAACAGAAAAAAAAACTGACAGTACATTGAAGCTGCACCCAGATGGCACTTTTCTTGCTCAAAGGAGAACACATAAATTATTCTTATTATCCCTAATGCAGTTCCCTTATAAGCAAGTTTCCCAGTGGCAAATTCTGGTTCTTTCACCTTTCCAAATCTTATCACACTGTCACATAATAAAAAAACCAAAGCACTATTTTATTTTCTTAAACTTTAACCACTGTATTGAAATCTAAATGATGCTCTATCTCAGAAGTAGAAAAAAAAAAAGCTTAGATACATGTATTCAATGACTGACACATACCATAACAAGATGGCCATGAGCCTAATGGCTGAGCTCAACAGTACCAAGAACCCAATTATAAAATATCCCACTAAACCTTTTTAGTGCTTTTTATTAAAACAGCTTTTTTGGAGGAGGGTGATTAGGTATGCCCTATGGTGATCTCACTCAAGTTCAGGCTACATTTGTCAAGCAATTCTGCCCTCTTTCTTATTTCTGTGGTGTGTACTGCTTTATGTGAATATTTTAGAGAATCCTCACACAGAACTGTATTAAGGCACAGACACACTTTAACAGAGTTAAGGAACTAGTAAGAGATGGTAAAAGACTTATCTGATGCGTTACCCTTATTTACTAACTGTCGCATCTACTACACTTCTTTATTCAGAAGAGTTAGTGTTGAATTCATCCTCTGTTTAACTGATTCTGGTGGCTCTCTGAGCCATCACTACCTGGAAAACAAGTTGTGCTACTAGGTGGGGTGGGCAGGACTATATAAACTGGTTCCCCTTCCAAAACTAAGCCCCTAAAGATAAAAGTCTGGTCTTTTATAATAGGTGAAACTACTCTTGCTCTAAGATAGCTAGGTGGCACAGCGAACGGTATGCATCTTCCTGAGTTCAAATCTGGTCTCAGATACTTCCTAGCTATGTGACCTTGGGTAAGTCATTTAACCCTGTTTGCCTCAGTTTCCTCATCTATAAAATGAACTGGAGAAGGAAATGGCAAACTACTCTAATATCTCTGTCAAGAAAACCACAAACGGGGTCACAAAAAGTTGGACACAACTGAACAACTCCTGCTCTGATAGTATAAAAGCATATCCTTAGGGTGCCTTATTTTCCTCCGTACCTGCATGAATACCTTTCCAATCACCACATCATCATCATCCTTAAATACTGTGCTAAAGACAACGGTGACTCGATCCTTCTTAGATTCAACATACCTGTGGAGAAGAAAACAGAGGATGGTGAAAAAAGCAAGTCACCATGGGGCCATATCAAATATTTTATTGATGAAGAAGAATAGGAAGAAACTATGGAGAAACCATGAAGGTTAAGAGCCAATTTACTTCTATGAACCATAGAGTGTGTTAAGAAGGTGACACTAAAAGCTTTTCTCTAGAGGGGACAACAGTGAGATATGTCTATGCATTAATAGAGTTTGTAGACAAGAGATTATATGATAAATCACTGAGTAAAGCAAATTTTCATTTTACATACACAGTATTAATGACTACAAAGAAATTGTATTAAGGAATAAAACTCTAAGATCTTTAATTTTTAATTCAGTAAAATTAACTTTGAGAGCACAATAAGAAACTGAAGGCAAGAAAGCAAATCTAAAAATCTGTAAGCTGACAGAATACCAACAGTCAACCTGATTATGGTGTAATGCCCCAGAAGCAAGGGCAGCCTACAAAGAACTATGGAAAGAACCATTCAAGCCTCCAATTAACCTTTACCTTAATTAACATTTCTATAGCAAATTAAGGTTTGTGAAGTACTTTATATACACAATGGAGTATTCAGTTTCTGCAATTTAATTCTGACGCCATTTTAACTTTTCTGAAATAAAAATTTTTGAACTTGTGTTTAATTTCACTTAATTTCATCTCACACTAAAAGTAGTAGTTTATATATTTAAAAGCCTGCTCAAAAGCTTCTGTTGAGTACAAAGTAAATAAAGTTACTGAGGCTGTTAGACTTGGATAGTTAAAAAAAAAAAAAGAAAAAAGTATGGTGTTATTAGCAAACTGGAAAGCTCCCAAGTACTCTAGGGATTCACTTTCTCCAAGAAGAAGCTTGCCCACTGAAGACTGAGATGGAAGGTAACACACCTCCCCAGAGTACATGGCACTACCACAGATGCTGCTGCTGAAAGTGGAACCCAAATGCCTTCTTAGACAGGAGTGCTGTCATGTTGCTTGTTCGTACTTCCTGTAAGGATGTAGGAGCCCTAGTGGTGGCTCCTGAGTAGTCTCAATCAGGAAGTGGGCTGTGGTGGACAATCACAGGCGACCCAGCCTGGGAGAAGGGAGCTCTACATCCAAGAACTTGTTTGTAGGAGAGAGCACTATATACCAATGGAAAATTAAGAGTTCTTTGGGTTTCCAGCATTATTTTTAAGATGGAATCTGGGATTCATAGCCTTCTACATATATTCCTATGTCGCACATCAATCCAGTCCTTGTTTTTCTATCACAGAAACTGAGACATAGTAGACTTTTTCTATAGCTTTCAAGAGCTTTTGATGCTAAGCTATCATTCAGAGTTCTCACAATGTGGGCTCCTCAAATGGAAATACCTCTTTTTTTCTCTCTCGTTCTCAACACTTTAAATATAGTACACATAAGTATTAATCAGTATACTTCCTAACTTTCTCTCTTCTATCAGCAGTGGCTTAGGAAATTCCATGAGGTAGAGATAAAGATGGCTTCATATGAAAGTATAAAATTAATTCCTTTTTTTCTTGTAAAGGTTATCAGTTACGTATATCCCTTACGCTAACAAATGCATTTTACAATGTCACATTATTCCTCTTCTCTCCCCAAATGGCACTGTAAATGAAAATCAAGGGTAAGCCTGATAATTCAGAATTATTATTCAGCAGTTATGATTCCAAGCATGCTATTCACCTCTTCAAAAAGAGGGGATGAACTCAAGTGTGCAAATTAAGACATATTTTTGGACACTGCCAATGTGAGAATTTGTGTTGCTTGACTATGTTTAACGCAATGCCTGACACATAGTAAATGCCTTTTTAAAAAAATAACCTTGTCTTGACAACAAAAGCCACAAATAAACGGGCTGCTCCTAATATGATCCTCTGGAATGTGTGAGAGACAGGAGGGCAGGAGAAATAAAAAAACAAAGGCATCAAAGCTGAAGTCCTCAGGCCAACCATTTTAGCTATAGCACTTTTGGCCTCCCACAGCCACAGGAAGAATAACTTAAAATGTAGTGACTTCCAAAGGGACTATTATTTTGATAGACATACAATTTTCCCAAACTGCATACTAAATCACAATAATTTCATCTTCTTAGGATCATTCCTTAGTCTGCAACTGTAAAGAGTGATATGTAGGCATGACGGTCTATACTCACATTGTCTCATCATCTCTGTAATGGATTACTGCCCTGTTCTCTCCCTCCTTTCCCTCTTCTTGGAATTTGAAGTATTTCTCAAAGACAGAGGCAAAACAGTTTCGTTTCAACATTCCAGCCTGATGCACGATGGAGTCTTTTGATGCAGGCAGGTTCTCAAGGTCATACAGCAATGAGACATTGTATCCTAAGGAAGGAAAATCCATCAACTGTAATCTTATTTAAAATGTCTAGCAAAGAATTCTAAGCTGTCATGTGAAAAAAATGCTTCAAATCACTAAAAACTAGAGAAATGCAAATTAAAGCCATTCTGAGGTTTTGTCTCACATTTATCAGAATGGCAAAAGTGATTAAAAAAAGAGAAATGTTGGAGGGGCTTTGGAAAATAGGTACAGTACTAGACTGTTGGTGGAAGTGTAAACTGGTCCAACCATTCTGGAAAGCAAATTGCAACTATGCCCACGAAGTTATTCAACTACATACCCAGTCATACTACTATTAGGCCCATATCCTAAAGAGAACAAAGAAAGAGGAAAAGGACTCATGCATAAAAAATATTTACACAGTGCTTTTTTTGTGGTGGCAAAGAATTGGAAACTAAGGAGATACTTGTCAAATGGAGATTGGATGAACAAATTACGGTATGTGAATGTAATGAAATACTGTGGTGTTATAAGTAATGATCTAAGGAAACAGTTTCAAAGAAACCTGGGAAGACTTGTGTGAACTGATGCAGAATAAAGATTCTACAGAGCAAAATCAGAACAATTTTACAACTCTGAAAGACTTAAAAACTCTGAACAATGAAATGATCAACCATAATTTCAGAGTACCTATGCTGAAACTTTGCTACCCGTCTGTGGACGGAGAGATGATGCACTCAAGAGTGCAGACTGAAATATGTTTTTTGGACACAGTCAATGTGGGAATCTGTTTGGCTTGACAGGAAGTGTGGAGGGAAAACACATTTTTGCTAACTGAAAAAAAAAGTCTACCAAATTCTCCTCACTAATCTCTTTTGACAAAAGCTCTAGAGTTTTAACATTAACTTAAAGTTATTTCTAGACTCATTTCCCTATAACTAAAACAAGCAGAATACTACCCATTTCCTTTTACCACACTAGGCTGAAGTAAAGTCAATCTTATATTCTAAGATGCTTACAAATATAAAACACTTAACAATTATAAAATAAAACTCTAAGTTACACCAAAATGCCTGATAGTTGAGAGCACTGTTATCAAGCCCACATAGAATGAGGGACATACTAAACTATACGTAAGGATCCTTGCAAAAAGTGGCATATTGATTTAGAAAACCACACATTAACCGTCTACTCATTTTAATCTGGTTCCCTTGAGTGTTACTGACATGTTTGACACCTCCAGTTTAGAGCAAAGACAATGCTTCCAAGAACACAATCTGGGAACTGCAATCAGAAATTTGGCTTGTTCTAGACACATTTGTGAAAAAGGAACATGCTATTAAAAACCATGAATATAAAGCCAGAAATGTAAGTTGATAAATGCATCCATAAAATAGTCCTTTAGGTTCAGGGTAAGTTAAGAGACATTTTCTTACCAGGGTAACATACCAAGAACTTACATAATTAACATCTAATAAGCATGTGAAAATAAGTAACTGCAGCAACTAGTGATTAGATATGCTGCTAACAGGAGCCAAAAGGTCCAAATGATATGGAGTTGTGTATAAAGAGACATTTGGGTATGAATGAGAGAGATCTCAATAGAGCTGATTCATATCCTAGGCAACTGATGAGACTTGGGCACAGAATAGATTTCTACCAGCATGGTATGAATTTCAAGTTGCTGCACGTTCCAGACTTCTGTGCTGTTACTCTCCAAGAGTGTCTCCATTCTCTGTTTTTGTTGGGACTGTCCCATTCTGATCATGAACTTTAAGGTTATGAGCTCTTTAAATTTCTGTTCTGGACTGTGTTTAGCACACTGTTGGCACGCTAACATTAAATAATTACAATAACCTCCTCATTTTGGGTACCTGGGTACCAGTTAAATAGATGAGCTGGTAGAAGATAAGAAAGCGAATATTTTCAGAGTTGGGGTTCACTGAATTTTAGAAGCCAGACAAAAAAAATACAGGCAAGACTAAAGCAAGTCTCAGATTTTAAGGAAGAAAAATGAAAGGAAAATGCTAGGCAGTGTGATGGAGTAAAAATTCAGTACTGCATGATTAAGATTTCTAAATTGGATTACACAAATGATCCCAAAGTAATGGGAGGTAGGCATTTCAGTTTTTTTTAATTTGGCATTTACTAGTATACTGTATACAGTTTCTGTGGCAATCATATACATTACTACATGATGGTCCTCTGCCAGCGGTGTGGGGTGGGAGGGAAGAGCAAAGATTTGTTATTCTCTCTCTCCAGAAAGCATTTCCTTCCTAACCAATCTATCAAAATCAGGTTTCTGCCTCTAAATTTTAACTTTTGTATTTTATTTGGTCCTTGGTAATGAAAGGAGAGGCTAGCACAATAAGTTGTTTTCTTCTGTGTGTCTCTTTTATAATACACTCATTACAAAGAGCATGCATTTCAACGACACTCTTTTTTGTCAGAAACTGTTACCAGATGTAGTAATATAATAGGCTGCAAAGAATACATTCCAAGGAAGAAAAGGGGGCGGAAGTGGGGAATTATAGGTGTTTTAGTTTAAAAATAAAATCATTAAACACAAGAATACTGTTTTGTATTATTTACATATTTTTTTTACATTAAAAAAGTAGCCAACTTCATTTCCGGAAGACTTTTAAAATGAGGCATAATTGTGGCATGACCTGAATATCAAATGATGGTCATATTTCTGAAAATAGCTTATCTTCAAACAGCTTTACAACTTAAAATCTTATTTCAGCATGGAGCCAGGCTGACTGTTTTAGGGCATGGGAATATAATTCAATCACAGATATAACAAAGTGACCAGTTCTTCCCAAATAAAAGTTCTAATAACTCATTGCTGTGCTCATCAAAGTGGGTCACAGACATTTCCAACTCTTCTGGAGTTAGTCCATGGTCGAGCATCAATAGTAGGTTAAGAGAAGACAATATTTTTCTCCCAATTTCAGCCATAATCTTCCTCCAATTGTGCAGGAGACAAGAAAGAAGTAGTAAAAGAAAAACCAATGCTTGCTTAATTCATCCAAAAGACAGTTTAATCATAACAGGCAAACAATGGCAGCCTTCAGGCTGGAAATCTAGGCAACAGTTGTCCATGCTATTTTTTGGTGACATATCCATCACTGGAAAGAGTAGTGCCATGAGTACTATTTTTTATACAGAGGAAAAACTGGGTCCATGAAATGTAAACGTTTTAAAAAAAAAGGGAGAGAAAGGTACAACACTCAGATTAAATCTTTTTGTCCTTAGCAAAAGCTAAGGTATAAGTGTTAGTCTACAGAAGCTTACCTGATTCTGGATTTACCAAGAAACTTCCATATACCCTCTTCAACAACTAGAAAATAAAAAAATAACATAATGTCATCTCAAAGGTTACTTTTAAAAAATAACTTATTTGTAAAGTTCAATTCAACCCATTTATTAAGAGTCTACTATATGCCAAGTCCTGGGGAGACAAAGCTTGCTTTCCAGGAATTTAACAATCTGGTATGAAGGGAGACAGGGAAATAAGACACCTTTATTAAAGTAATTACAGGAAAAAAAATATACATATATGTATGTATGTATGTATGTATGTATGTATGTATGTATGTATGTATGTATGTACACACAAGCACACACACTCTCTGAGATGCTCTGGGTGGTATGAGAGATCTGAGGAAAAGAAATAATTTCAAAATGAGGGGGAAATCAAGTCATTATTCCTGCTGAAATAAAGGTCCATAATCTCATCCTCCACCTCTATTTTATGGGCAGAGTAGGAGACACTCATTCAAGAATAACCAAGCAAGACAGATCTGACACTGTCTTCTCAGAGTCTTGTCACCTATCCCTTTAGGACGATATCTCCCCTCTATATTGTCCACCTTTTCTCAAAGTCCTGCTACATTATGCACAACTGTCCTCTAACCCTGAGTGTGAGAACAGATTGTGTTACTTATCAGTTCACTGAGTCAATACCCTAACTTTAAGTAAATGCCAAGATAAAAACCAAGACCACCCTGACTGATTTCAGTAAGTAGCTTGTCATGTGTTCTTAAAAATTACAAAGTTGTAGTCAGCTTAAAAAAATAAAGAAATAAAGGGCGGGGACAGCTAGGTGGCGCAGTGGATAGAGCACCGATTCTGAAGTCAGGAGGTCCTGAGTTCAAATCAGGTCTCAGACCAAACACTTGACACTCACTAGCTATGTGACCTGGGCAAATCACTTAACCCCAACTGCCTCGTGCCAAAAAAAAAAAAAGCATACATCAACTGGGGAATGGCTGAACAAGTTGTGGTATATGAATTTAACGGAATACTATTGTGCTATAAGAAATTATGACCAGGCTGACTTCAGAAAAACCTGGAAAGACTTGTATGGTGTGATGCTGAGTGAAATGAGCAGAACCAGGAGAACATTGTAGATAGTAACAGCCACGTTGTTCGAGGACTAATATAGACAGACTTAACCCTTCTCAGCAATACAAGGATCTAAGATATCTCCAAAAGCCTCTAGATGGAAAATGCTATCCACATCCAAAGAAAGAACTATGGAGTTTGAATGTAGATCGAAGCATAATATTTGCTATTTTTTTCCTTCTGTTGTGTTTTGTTTCTTCTTTCTGACAGTTCCTCCTATTGGTTCTAATTCTTACTTACATCACTAATATGAAAGTATTTAATAGGAATTCCTATTTAATAGGAACATATATGTATAGTCTATATCAGATTGCACACTGTCTTGGGGAGATAGGGAAGGAATGAGGGGGAGAAAAATTTAAAACTCAAAAACTTAAATGGAAGTGATTGTTGATAATTCAAAATAAATTAATTAAAAATTAAAAAAAAAAGGGGGGGGCATAGATAGCTGGATCCCAGCCATTACAGTCCCATCTTTGATAGCTTACATTTCCAACAAATCTACTTTTAAGAAACCAAGGTTTGGGTTGAAGCTCTGGCCACCCTGGGCAAATTGTTTAGCTTCCACGAACCTGTATGGTCATCTGTAAAATAAGGGGCTGTACTACATGATCTCTTAGGTAGAATCAGGTAAGATTCTAGTTCTAACATTTTATAGTCAACATTCAGAGACAAGGTGAAAGCATAGCTGAGATATATATTCAGGATTTTACTATGGCTTGTCCTAGCACCATCTTTCCTCAGCACTTAGTTTTGATTTCCTCCCTTGGTGAACACTGACTGTTCTGAAGCTTGCAGATGGCCCCCAGTGATGTGGGAGAGGCTGTTCAACAAGTATTTATGGAGTGTCTACTAGGTAGCAACAGACTGTGCTAGTTATACTTTGGGTTACAAAGATACTGAGTATGATACAGTTCCTGCCCCTAAAGTTTCATTTAGAAGATATGTAGCTGTGATTATATTTAATTAATGCTTTGAGGTACAGGTTATTCAATTCAGAAAAGCTATTATTTTCAAGGACCCAGGAAATCTTTAACCAACATAAGAGCTTTCCTTCCATACCTGCAGAAGACAACAAAGAAAAGAACATAATATGTTAAAACTACACTGTTGGGTTGACTTTCCAGAATGACTACTATTCAGTTCCTTGCCCTTCAAGGACTGAAAAGTTTCTTCTAGAGGTCAATAACTTAACCTTAAATGTAACAAAGGCCACTTCCTTAGGTGGTGCCAATCACTGCAGGCAGGTGAGGAAACAATGACCCTACTGATAGAAGAGTTAACAGAGGTTAGACACCAGCGGTTCTAAGATAATGCCTTAACAGTGAGTCTGGTTGTTTTGTCCTGAGCTGGGTCTAGGTAGGTATTTAAATAGCTGCTTTTTGTCCCTCTGACAGCTTGTAACACTCTCCTCCCTAGATCCAAGGAACTACTTTCCCACCACCCTATCTCAGATACCCTGTCTCACCTCACACTAATCTCCCTGCTGGAGAGAAAGAGGGTACTCTGCTGATACTATCCATTTGCCTCCAGTCTCTACCTCAGTTTTATTAGCACAATGACCCTGGAGAGTTTCCTTTCTCACACGTTTCCAAAAAGGGGGGTGGGGTAAGGAGAAAGTGAGGGGGGAAGGGAAGAGCCAGAGGAAAAACACAGCTTCCTGGTGCTGGAACAAGTTAGCACCCAGTCTGACTCCATACCCACCACCCCCCATCTATGCAGCAGAGGGAATTGAGGGGATTAGGACAGCAAGTGTTAATTGTGGGAACTGAGTAAAACCACACTGACTCTAGTTCAACTTCTGTCTTGTGAGACTATTTCATTCAGTTGTGGAAATCAGGAGAAAACCTTATTGTTTTGTTTGAATTTAGCCATGGGTGGCTGGGAAACTGGACCACCTCTCTCCACTGCTTAGAGACTCTTAACTAAGGACCTAGGTTATTGGACCAGGTCCAAAGACTGATGCAAGGAGTTTTCTCACAAATGTACATCTCAAGCAACCCATGTATCTTACACCTGAAAAGTGGCCCTGTACTGATCAGATATTGTTTCCATGTACCTCTGATTATTTACAGACACTTGTAGGGAATGGAACACTTCTTTTTCTGATTTCAAGGAATTGTACCTGTTTGCTCTTCCCTTCCCAACCTGGAAAGTCCCTTATCTTTTCTACAATTCTAAATCACATTACCTGATACTGTAGTGTTTCCTTTTAATTAACTAGCCTTATTTGCTCCAATGTTTTTAATGACAAAAGTCTGTCTCCCTATATAGGTCCAGCCCTAAAGTGAGGAAGGGGCCTGGTCCTGATTTGCTGGGCAAATGGCATTCACTGCTTAATAAACTGATATATTCAGAAGATCGAACTTTTGTTTTCCTCAGTCATTTCACTATTTACCCACCATACAGTAAGAGGCTAGTGATTTCTCCAAGCTGTCTTCGAGGCCTGGCCCCTCCCTCTTGCCTCTTTCTTACCATGTGCAATTGAAAGCCTTGATGTTTTTAAGCAGAGTAAGCAGAAGACTCCTTTCACTCCTGCATCTAAGAGCTAGAATGGAGGGAAAGAAGGAAAAGAGGCAAAGGAGAGAAGTACAGCAGCTATAGTTGTCTCTCAGCGTTGGCAGAGTATTAGGAGCATAGGACCCCTGCAAATGTGAAAAGCTACAAATAATTCTAGGCCACACTCCAAACTGCTATTTTGAATAATTCTGATATTCAACACACAAAATAAGTAAAACATATTACACACATAAAAGTGTTGATAATAAATTTATGTGTGTATACTTACAGCAGTAAATGATAAACAGATTAAAAATATATGCTTTTTATGACTTACTAAATTTTTTTTTAGCATACACGTGTCCCTGCAAATCTCCAAAAATTTCCACTTAGTTATTGATGGTCAACCAAAACAGTGATTGTGAAATTTGTCAATATGAAACCTGCAAATACTGAGGGATGACTACATATAGAGATAGAAGACACATCAGTAATGAAGCTGTCAAGAATATAACAACTTTTTCAGTATTCTCTGGTCTTTACAAAGAAATAACATTTTGCATTTACAATGTAATTCATTATACTATACAGACACAACATATTTAACCCTAATCATTGGTAGATAAGGTGAAGTAATTACTCTTTTTCTAATGGGCCAAATTAAAGCAGAGGCAACAAAAGTCAGCAACAGATTCAGGTTGGGAGGCTAGGTCTATATTCTAATCTCACTATAACCACATTAACTTGTTTAGGTTCACGTAAATGTCCTCTCCTTTCTAATGACCAGGCCAACACCTAACTGGTACTTGAGGGTCTCCGTAAAACCAGTCCACTAAGAAAATCAGAGATCAATTATATAGCCTTCTCTGTGACTTGTAGCTAAATGAGACATTCAGTCTGTCTTTGTATTCCCCAGTTCCTAGTACAGTACCCTTAGCACCTAGCAAGCCATTTAATAAATGCTTGTTGCACTGAATCTATTCTTTATGTGTTACAGAAGAGTAAGTGAAGTGAGAGCCTTAAGGTCATAGACTTCTAAGCGGTACAGAGGGAGCTGACCATAAAATCCTCAGACCTTAAAGTGTTTGAAAAATAAGCCGTATGTATACCCAGAGAGTTAAAAGAAGCTGATAAATTATAATTTGGTCCTCTAAGTACTTTATACTCCTCTCACTTCCTGAAGAATGTGAGAAAAAGGTGAATGAGAGGTAGGCAAAAACTAAATCTCAAGATTTAGTTAAGTTCCACAAAGATCTAACAGGTACTCAAGACCCAATTCATATTGTAACTAACCACTTTGTCATCACCCCTTTCCTCCCACCTCAGCAAACCTGCCTCCTCAACATGATTCCAGAAATGCACTTTAACCATGATTCACTTTTCAACTTGCACCCTCTCTTCTAATGTGACATCAGGAGGCAGCCTGTCACTGTCACATCTTTCCCCTATCAGCGGGAGATGCCTTCTGTTCTGAAGAAGCCTGCTAAATCCTCAGATGTGGAACAAACTGCTTCTCATTATCACACTCTGGTCACTGTTTAACTGACTCAGGGAGTGATTCGTGCTGATGAGGCTCCAAGCCTGTGAACGTTCCTCACTCCACTCACTCCACCCAAGCAGCAGGTGCTTGTTCTTTGACCCCCAGCAGTTAAACTGAGCAACCTGCTGTCACGTCTCTTCCTCCCAGGATCACGGAGCAGGAGAGGAGCCTGAAGAACCTGAGCTCAGTAATTTTCCACTTTCTTCATCAAGACCTTTAAAGAGATGGTTTTCTATGCTGGGGAAAATTATTACATAAGGTTTTTCAGCTGCCTGATGCATTTACTAACTCTGCCAGTAAAACCCCTTCTTAGAACATCAGCTCATTTCTTCTTTGCTGAATTCAGGGGAGAGGAGGTTGACTGGAACTTTCCTATGACAAACCTGCACTTAAAGACTGTGTTTTGAGTGTCAGTTCCCCCTTTCCCGATCTCTTTTCTAGGTAAAAGAACTTTACCCTGTAAACATTTTTTCCTCTTGAACTTCTCATGATAGAGCAAATCATAACCGCCAAGGGAAGTGACCACCTGTACTTTGCTGAAGCTTCAAACTTGAAGAAAAATATTTAGACAAATCCCAGTCTATTAAAAGTTATTTAGAAACCTTAAAATATTATTAAACTCCTTTTGGTGATCCTTCAATAATTGTTTTCCCTTATCTTGAAAGAAAATGAATGGAAATTGCTACATCTTCCTTCAATACTGCAAGGACTGAGTTTGTTAAAACTAGGATATTTGAAAACTAATTCAGGAACTGAGTCATACTTCCTGCTTTGAAACCCAACCACAGCATGCATACAGTAATGTAAAAGCATTTTCTTTCTTCCATAAATGGCCCTCCCCAGAGCAAATATAGTTCAACAGGAACTAAACCTGTCACTGTAGAGATCAGCCAACAGCCAATGAACAAAGTATGGCAGTTAAGGGTTTCGTAATGCCTAGACACCCCATCTTACTTCCTCTAAGATAGCGAAAGCCAGAAAGGAGTCCAGGCACAAAGAATACTCAGTTTGCAAAACCAAAAAGAAAGGGGCTTTTCTTCTAACTTCTAGAATGGGGAACTAAGCCTAAACTTTTTTTTAAAAAATCTGGTAGAGAAGCTCTATTTTGTTTAGCATCCTTAGTCAGAATGCTTCTAACAACTAATAACCCTATAAAAAAACCAAAAGCATAATCAAAGGCATCTTGTCCTTAGCTATTCTTTCTTCTAACGGTCAAGAAATATGGACAATGCTCATCTTCAAAAATGTCAGTATATCACTCAATCTTTAGTCAATCTACTCTGCTTAGAGATTGTCAAATTCTCCAGAGTTTTGGAGGGGGCAATCATTAAAAAAAACCCAACCAAATATCACACTTCACTATGAGATAAAGAGTTTGACAGTCACTGGTTAGGTAGGGTCAACAGTTCAGACTGGCCTTTGCTAGGTGTGGTGCATTGAAGAGGGTGGAGTTGATTTATCTTATACTGTTCAGTGGGAAGCAGCCAATGAAAGGCAAGGTGGAACACAAAAGAATCACGAGGCACTCACCTCATCAGCTCCATGTGCTTGTAGCTCCTTGTAGAATTTCAAAGAAATACTGACCATCACTTTTGTTTTGTCTCCATTGGGATTTGAAATATGATAAAGGACTCCATCAAAGTCTATGGGAAAAGCACAGGGTGAGGATGTTTAGTGGGCCAGGGGGCATATTACTCAGCACATTCTCCATGAAAGCTCTGTGATCATTAGCTTATCCTTATGCTCTCTTAAGACAGTCAGCATGAAATGAAACAAAAAATGAAAACTGGAGTAAAACATAACATTTTACTTTTATGTGGAAGTCAGAGGTAATACTATGATTAGAAGTTCTAAGTACTGGCTTCCCTAATCTTATCTAAACCCATTAAACTATTCTTATACTAGTCACACCTCGTAGCTTGGTAGAAATGATTTTAAGCCCTCATTTGCCATAAAGAACAGACAAAAAGCCTTTCCAAGCTCTTCAATCCTGGCAGCCTTCTTTCTTCCTGGCCACTTCCAGGCTACTTTGCTTAGTTTTAAAGTATTTACCTACCCAACGGTTCACTGTATTTTGGTTTACAGACTGAATGGTACAACCACACTGTGTGGTTCATGAAACCAAACTAAACTAAACCATCTTATGAAGTACTTATACTGTCTGGTTCATAAAACAAGACTGAACAACCTAGTTTTGTGAACCACACACACATCCCAGCCATTTTTAAAAGATGTAACAAGATTCATAAAGAGCCAAGTAAGGTACTTCCAAAGCCAGTCAACTGATGATTTATCTTGTCAGAACCAGAATGTACTTTATATTTAAACCTCAGTAGCCATTATCTCTCAAAACTTCCTCTATAGTGACAAAAAAGGTGTTTCAGTTTTCACGGGCAGGTATAACATTTTTGGATACAGCTTTAAAAAAAAAAAAAGGGGGAAGCCAGGTGGCTGGAAGTCAGGAGGACCTGAGTTCAAATCCGGCCTTAGACCAAACACTTGACACTTAGCTGTGTGACCCTGGGCAAGTCACTTAACCCCAATTGCCTAAAAGAATAAAAAAAAGAGAGAGAGAGAAAGATTTCTAATTAGATCAGGGCACTCAAGAAGGCTGTTCATATATGAATAAGGAAATTCAGAACACAAATACAGGTAGGAAATAAAAGTGTAAATATAATTCATAGATGCCAAAATATATATGGTAAAGAAAAGAGAAATCCATCTGTTTTAACAAACCAGTAGGTTTTATCTATGCAAGTCAACGTAGTGTAAAAGCAAACAAGAGGACCACTTGGAGACAATGGGATCATCAATCCTAATTTACAGGATATTTAGGTGAGGGAAACATTAGAGAAGACTTGCAAAACAAAAGAATTCTTTAGTTATTGTCAGGTAACCTTTTATTTATGAAGTTTTAGTGAAGATATCCTATTCACTGGCTTTGTACAACATTTTCTGGGATGACAAAACCCAGAGAGATGACAAAAACAGAATGAAGCCTACTCTGCCAAGATAGGTAGTTAGAGCCTTAAAGATGATCTAGGTTAACCTCTTTCCTTCACTGATGAAAAAACAAAAATAAAAAATCACTTGCTCAAGCTTGCATGAGTATGTTTAGTAAAGCCTGGATTAAATCTCGTGTCTTCTGTGCTTTTTCCAGCTGCTATTTGATGTTCATTAACACCTTTAATTTTCACCTAAAAATTTCTTCTGACTGTTGGTGAATATAGGCTGATTGCTGGCGAACGTATTAAGACTCTTAGCATTTGTTTTACAAATGGTTCTGTTTTACATATGTCTTCCACTTTCCCACAATATAACTGAAGTCATAAAACTTACCTGCAAATGTTACTTCTACTGCTTCTGGTTTGTTTCTGTAAAACAGAAAGAAATTTCCTAAATCAATTAATAAAATCATCTTGCAGTTTACCTTTAATAAGACTGGGAAAAGAATCTGGTTTTCCTCAACCTTTAAAATGAGCCTCTGAAAAAGCCAATTATGTGAACCATTCTTCAACTTATTACTGATCCTACTGCACAGCTCACTGAATAAAGCCCTCTCAGTCTGTGTACACAGTCAGTGCTTGAGGTGGGGGAAAAAGGAAGCATGATTACTTCAGGGTCATCTCAAATATTGGCTGCTACTATTATGTTCTTTACTTGGCTGACAGTTTAGTTTCTGAGAGCAGGATAGCGGTGCTGACAATTTGAAAAACAAAAAATAACATAACAAAACTCTTGGTTGCTTTTCTAATCCCACCTGTGATAAGGGAAGTATATTCTAACAGGCAATAAGATAACCACACAGGCACCATTCCAGGATGATTTAAATTTTATTTCAGAACAAAACAGCAAGTGGATTTATTTCAAGCTACAAGATCCCATTTTACCACACCTTAAAATGTCCACTTCACTCTTCTTTGCCAAATCATAGCCTTCTCTTCAGATCTGCACCTTCATGAAGTCTTCTCAGACTATCTCTACTTCAGTTATCTAGTAATCCACACAAAACTTGGACAAGTTTGCTCCTGAAACACAAGCTACTGCTTTGCATTCATACTTCTATGTTCATATGCTTTAAAAGTCCTTCCTCCCTTTGCCTGACAAATACTTATTTTTTCAGTTAGGCAATGTGATTAAGTGACTTGCCCAGGGTCACACAGCTAGTGTTATGTGGCTGAGTCCGGATTTGAACTCAGGTCCTCCTGAATCCAGGGCCAGTGCTCTATCCACCACTGAGCCACCTAGCTGCCCCTGACTGACAAATTCTTAACCATCCTTTAAAGCCCAACATACACCACACCTCTTCTGATCTGCCTCTTCCCTCCAAAGCTAACAACCTTTGTTTTCATAATATTGCATAGTACTGTGTATTACAGCTATCTAGCTTTTGTGTCTTATGCCCCCCTACTAGACTATAAGGTCCCTGAGAGCAAGAACTAGTCTTGTTTGTGCTTTTATCTCCCCACACTTAGCACAGTGCTCTTATATACCACAGGTGCTTATTAAATGTCTATCAGTTTTCTAATATGGGATAAATAAGGTGGTATCTTCTAAGATACTAGTCTAAAAGTCAGTATTTTATAAAATTTGGTACCAATGTCACTCCTGATTGATTGGATGATCACAGACAAGTCATTTAACATCTGAGTCTTAGCTTTTCCATCTACAAAAAGGGTATAACAATGGCTTCCTTAACTCATTCACATTATTATTGAGGACAAAGTGTAAATGAATATGAAGGGACTGATAAATCTTTTGGGATGTGAAAATATGTTTAATAGGAATGTATATGTATAGCCTATATCAGACTGTGTGCCCTCTTGGGGAGGGAGAGAAAAATTTAAAACTCAAAAGCTTATGGATGTGATTGCTGATAAATCAAAATAAATTAATAAAAAATTTTAAAAAAATCTTTTGGAACACCCTGTATAAATGTAATTAAGTTCTCTATTTTTCATGTATGTTTTGTCTAACCAAAAGAATAGTGGATATTACTGAATTTTTCTATTATTTTCTCTGTACTTTCCACACAGTAGGCATTTGATAAATACTGGCTCATCAGTTAAGAGAGCCTATCACATCTCTCAGTTGTAAATAACTGATGATCATTCAACACAATAGCTTAATAGAAAAGCTATTAAGAATGACTGAACTCTTCTTTCTTCTTTAAGTATAATGACAGGACACAGATGAGAACATACACTAGCCAGCCTTCTCAACTTCCTGCAATCAAACTGGTTCCACCTTGCTTTCCAAACTGGCAACATGGCCAGGAGAGAAGAAATCCAGGTTCTCACTCTTAGTTCTTCATTCTAATTTGCTCAAGATCACACAATTAAGTTGATAACCTCTTTTGTACTATAGCTGTTTCTCCTGTGAAATGGACTAACGCTTAGTTGCCTTTCAGGACTACAGGGGAATAACAGAAAAAAGGGGTTTATAATTCTTAAAGGAAACGGGATTCCACTAAATCAACATTAAATGCTCACTTAGGCCTCTTCCAGTTCTAAATCTTATGATTCTATATGATAGACATACACTGAAAAAATAAAATATATTAACTGCACACAAAGTTACATTGTATTTACAGCCCCTTCTGGGGTCCTAAGAATGAAGGTACTAGGTAGGACCTATAGCACATATTTAGTAGAACCTGATTGAGATTTCTTTTAGAAGTAGAGATGAAATGAGAGCCAATATAGTGCTACCTTCTTCAAGAAGAATACAAATAAAAAAGATGAATAATAAAGACAGCCAGCTGGTTAAGAAGTTGAGCTGTGCCCGCATGAGTAGCGTTGCTCGGTTCAGCACAGGGACAGGCTGTAGACACCTAACCATATGGCTTCAGAAGAAGCGCAGGGACCTAGTAACTGAATTAATTTCCTTTCTTTACCACCAAGCATGAAACATCAGTGATAAGCACTGGTGCAGGAAAATGGCACTAGATCTAGAGTCAGAGAACCTGGGTTTGACTCCCAGCTTTATCACTTACTGTGTGACCTTGGACAAATCATTTAACCAACATTCATAGGACCTGGTTTTCTGTAAAATGAATTTAGACTACATAACTTCTAATGTCCCTTTCAGCTCTAAATCTGTAGTTATAGTGCTAATCCTAATACAGAACTCTGAAAAGTTTCTCTGGACTACAAGATTCCAGAAGCACATTTGCCAAAGGCAGAAAATGCTGTGATCTATGCTAAGTGGTTTGTGTCTGACTACAAAATATTTGTCAAATCACTGCCATTAATATTTTAGTTGACTATTTAAGGCTACATAAAAGGGGAACAAGGAGAGGCTAAGGAGAATGACATAAAAAAAGGAGCTAAATGAAAAAAATTTTCAAGATCTTCGGAGTCAAAGTAGCATGTTCAATCACCAAAGAAGTTTCATAAGGAGTCACCTTGGGAGTTACAGGCTTAATAACTGTGTCCCAAAGAAAATTATTATAACTCAAGGCAGTCTCTCATTTTGAAATATAATTTCTCAATCCAAAAGCAGGGTGCTTGTAGCTTTTGATTTACCATCATGGACACAGGCTGATGGAAGGAGGTAAAAAGATAAAACCCAATCTAACTTCTGCCCAAAGTTTCTGAATCTTGAAACTATGGCAGGAGCTTATGAGATTACCCCACAAAATCAAGAATTGGTCAGTGGCACAAAAATGATGAAAACAGAGACTCATTTAGTGTCAGATTATCTGATGACTAAAATATATCACTCAATAGGAAAGGTTCTCATGTGACACCAGTCATTCAATTCATTCAAAAATTTCCTGAACTATTATTAAAACCTCTTACAAAGAAGAGTTTACCTTCTTTCCTATGGTTCTGAACTTCCTATGTATCACTGATCTGTCAATGACCCTGGCAATTAAATTCAGAGCATACTATACTGAAAGCTGAAAGGCTTTTATAAGTCATCTAGTTTAATACCCTCATTTTACAACTAAGGTCACAGAGCTAGTTAAGATACACAGTAAAGGCAGAATCCCAGACCCTTGGATGCCAGATCCAGTATTCTGGCCACTACAATGTAGTGTACTACCAAAAGAACTAACAGCTTAGCCTGTCTTTTAGAGATCGTGGAGATGTCATCCCTAAATGCTGGTCCATCTGAAAATTTATAGTATCAGTATGCATATACCTCTCCTTTGCTTTTCCTTCCTTTTGCAGTAAAATGAGGCACTTCTCACTTTAAAGGTTTCTAATCATTGCCCAGTTTCCAAGGTGATTGTACCTTGCTCATGGGCAGGCACTGTAGGCCTTCAGTAAATAGTGTGGAACCAAATTTTTAAGTGCCAAGAACCAGACACCTCCCAAAGCAGTACCACACCCATACCCCAAAACTGCCAAAATCAAGGGCAGAGTCACAGAAAATCAGGGATGAGATAAGATTTCTAAAGAGGAAGAAGCCAGACTATATGATCTGTGAGGTCCCAGGAACCTAGAATCAGGTTAGGATATTAGAGGTCCAACCTTCATATTTTGGGGATTGTGAAACTAAGGCCCAAGGAGGTTTAGTGATATTTCCAAGGTCACAGGTAGGGGCAGAGTCAGGAAATGAACTCAGGTTCTTTTAATCCAAATCCACTGGTCTTTCCAAGGCACTACCCTGCCTCTAATTTCAAGTTTCTAAGAAATGGGAATAATTTCACTTGGCTACATCCAGGGTGAGGTTAGGGTAGATGAACTTGAAGACCAGTTAGATTATTTTCTCTCAAATCTACCTAAATCACTCACTTTATTCCATCTTTCCTTAAGTGCTAAACAAATTTCAAATCACTCTAGGCCAGACTGCCTCTCAGAGGACATCTGTAGTGTGTTTAGGAATGAAAATAAGGAAAGGTAAGAGCAGAATTTATTTTTTGCTCAAATTTGTCTTCCTACAGTAGTTGCCCACCTCAATTGGCATGGCTATTTGCTGAGTTCCCAAGCAACTTTGTTCCCTTTCACATAACCACAGCTCCCCCAAATGTACACAGGTTGTGGTAAGTGGCCAATGTACACATAAAATCAATAGCCACCCTAGCCATCTTCATCTGACAGCATTTCCTAAATTTTGGACTCAAACTCTGGACAAGTTGAAAGCCAGACTTTTTAGTCTAATAAGATTCTTATGGTGTATATAGTGATGAATAGACAAACTAATTTGCTGTGTAACCTCTGCTTGGATTGGAAGCCCTTTCTTCAAGCAAAAGCTGCTCTTCAAAAGAAGGGCAGTGCTGCTGATAGGATGTGAAGATGTGACCTGACAAATGCCATCTTTCCAACATCCAGAATAGTAGAGGAAAAGGCAATGAAAAAAATCCATGCTAATTTTCATGGATATTCATGATACTTTGGCTATTTCTAGTCTGTGATGCCATCTTAGTTTGAAGGCTGTCAAGAAGATGTCAACTTACAGATAAGTGTGTTATTTAGGGAAGAAATCTGGTTGCCTCTAATACGCCAATACCCACAAAATTAATAATAAACAATGAAAGGTAAATTGTTTGGAGTAAATGTTAACCTTTATTTGCATGGCCTCCAAATTAAAAGGTTTCCACTGTTCAAATGTGTTCATTTAAACTGTTTAGATAACAGTACTCTAAGTAGATGGGAATTCGGTCATTTTTTTTAAGATATCACTATAATAAGCACTGGGTGACCAGATGACTGGGAAAAAATCATTCACAAAAAGAGAAAATTAGGATAGTTGAATTTTGAATAAGAATTCCAAAGAGTTCTCCTGGTATTTCTTGTGTTTAAATAGTCTGAACACAAGATTCACACTTTGGAAAAGGCTATGAATCAGGAGTTCTCCTTAATAGTAAGAAGAATCCCAATCTGTAGTTTCCTAGATGTCTTTCTCTGACCTTTCACCCCAAGACACCATCTTTCCAAACTCTTGTAATTTTGGCTACGAGCTCTTTACCCACAACACATCTCTTTTCTTTCCTGCCTGTGATTTAAAGCACTGCTAGAACATGGTAATCACAAGCGTCTATCTTTGCTGGAAGTTCTGGTAGGCCTTCAGTCTGGGCAACCACTCCACTAGCATGTCTGAGGACATGTATTTGGGAGGTGCTGCTTTTGTAATCTCAGAGAACCTATATTCAATAAGGCCTGAGAATACACTTCTTTTTTATGCAGATGGGATTTTTTTGCCATTTCCACTAAAATTTTCAGCAGAATCCTACCAGTTTTCATCCTGGCTGCCTTCCACAGCTCTCTTGTCCTAAGTCATATCACTCAAAAAAAGCCAATTCATGTTTTGCTACACCTCATCTTTGTGATCAATTCTGAACTATCTACTTAATGTATTCCCAATTAGTTTTGGTCCCTCTGAAATAACCACCTGCTATTTGTAGCAGTAGTTTTAAGAGAAAAATAAAAAGCTAAAGCCTGAATAATGGGATGGTTCAGTCATAAATTAAAACATAATTAGAAGTAAACGCATTCCTTCACCACAAGACAGGCCTCTGCTTGAAAACACACACACACATTTATCACACAGATCTACACATAACCAACCTTCCTCAGCTTCAAGCCTGTCAAGACTTGATGGCACTAAAATCAGCTGTGAAAATGCAGAAGTTAATTCAACTTCCTCCTAAATGCTAGACTGCTCAAGGTACAATAAAGTCACCCAAAGGACTGGAGCTGATTCACTTCAACTTTTAAAATGCAAAAGCAGTTTAGAGGGAAAACTGAAGGCATGAAAATAACCACCTGAAAACTAAACTGTAAAATTCCCTCCAGAAGAACATATATTCCTTTCACATATCCCTTCAACAACAACAAAAATGCTTTGTTTTATAATGATAAAATATATGGGCCCACTATATGGATTAACTACTGTACAGAGTGTACTGGAGTGAAACAATGGGTTAAAAATACTTCTTTTCACTGCTTCTTGAATTAGCTTATTTTAAACTGCTTAATATTTCCCCCACTGCATTACTTCTGTGAATCTCAAAGCAGTGACATTTTTAGTTCTCAAGTCAGTAAGGGGATTCTTTACCCATTTCTTTCTCTATAAAACAGAGACAACGAGCCCCACAGCTGAGGAAAACAGGTCCACAAAGATAGACTGCTACAGGTCACACAGAATTAGAACCCAATTCCCTGGCCCTATGCTCTAAATATTAAAAGAGCAACCTGATTTTTTTGTGGGGGGAGGAGAGAGGAAGGAGGGTTATGGAGAATTTTCTGCCATCTGCAGCTTCTCAGGCTGGTCAGAAATGCTTGCCTTGGAAAGATTTAATTCAACCCATGTTTATTAGATGTCTGCCATGTGCAGAAAATGAAGATGCCTGCAGGACAATCACAGGGTGAGAAGAAATGTCATTTAGTAACTTGACCAAGAGTGGGGACAGAATGCAAGCCAGTAGGACTAGAGCCTTACAGGGCACCGGGGTGCAGACTTTAAGAATTTAAAGGATAAATCACAAGAGGAAGGCCACTGGGTGGGGAAAGGGGCAGGAGAAACTCAGGCAAGAGATAAGGAAGGGTGTGTGTGTGTAGCAGCAGATTTGTGCGCGTGAGTGTGAGTGTGTAGGTAGCAGCAGATTTGCCTTAAAAATGAGAAGAAGGTGGTCCATGTCTCTCCTGCTTGGCCCAGAGCAAAGGGGAGCCAGAGAAATCCCACCTTCCCAGCTGGAGGTCTGACCTGGGAGAGGGAACGGGGGAGAAAGCCACCCACACTTCCTCTCCGCCCTGTGCAGGGGAGCGCCGGGGGTCCCCCGGGTCCTTCCGCACCCCATCCCACAAAACGACGATGGGTGGCTGCTCCCCCGACTCCCTCCGCCCACCCCGGCTCTAACCCCCAACCCCTTCCCCACCTCACCCAGTGGTCCCCCGCCCCCTCCCTGCGGGCTTCTCGACCCCGGTGCCCGGGGGAAGGGGAGGAAGAGGGGTCGGTCCGGGCGCCCCTGGCCCCGGCGCGCTCACCCACCCGGCGGCCGCGTTCTCGAACTTGAGCGCGAGCGTCTCCTCGATGATGCGGTTGTTCACCTCCAGCAGGATCATGGCGGCGGCGGCTGCGGGGGCTGCCCCGGTCCGGGGAAGGAGAGAGAGGGCGGGTTGGGGGGGAAGGAGGGAGCCGCGAGGCTGCCCCCCGGCCGGGGCGGGGAGGTGGGGAGAGGGAGCGGGGTGAGGGGGGAGGGGGCAGGGCGCACGCCTCCACACACGCACAGCGGCTCGAGCCCTCCTCCCCTGCCCTCCCGCCTCGGCGACCTGACCACCTGGACCTGGCCTGCACCCACTCGCCCAGCAGCCGCCGCTGCTGCTGCCGCCGCCGCCGCCGCCGCCTCACCGAGCGCCCCCGGTCCCCGCCCAGCCCCGGCTCTAGCCGGCCACTTCCGCTCTCACACCCACTTCCGCTCGCCGCCGCGGCGCGCGGCCCCTTGGCGCCATTTCCGCTCCTCTTTCCCCCCTCCCCTCTCCCTCTCAGCCTCCGTGAGCGGGCGGGTGCACGCACCGGCGGCCCTGGCCGGCTTGTCTCTGCCCCGCTACGCCCAAACTTGGCGCGCGCGGGCCACGCCCGCCAGCACGCCCGCGCACGCACGCACGCTCGCCTCCGCTTTCCCATGGTGCCTCGGGGCCGCCCCGCCCTTCCAACTGTCATTGCGGAGCGCCGCCTCCCGCGGTCGCTGCGTCCCAATTTCAGCTGCCTTCCTCCGGGGCCGCGGCCTACGCGCCTGCCCGGGGAACTAGTCTTGGACCTCCCCTCCGGCTAGGCCGCCGGGTGGCCGGTCTCTGAGCCCCCTGCCTCGAGGCAGGAAGAAAGTCCCGAGTTCAAATGCTGACTGACCCTGAGTAGGCTGCCTCCTGCCTCTGTTTCCCCAGTCTGTAAAATGGGGTTAATAACAACGCCTGGCTCCCGGGGGCCGCCGTCAGCATCAAATGAGACATCATCTCAGAAACTTGACTGACACTTACTAGCTGTGTGACCCTGGGCAAGTCACTTAACCCCATTGCCTAGCCCCCCCAATTAAAAAAAATGAGATGTCATGTAAAGTACTGTCTATAAGCAGCTACTTTACAATCATTTCATCATTCAAAATAAAAGCTACCTTACTATGTACCAGGTGCTTTACAAATATTATCTACAAATTACAAAATTATTTACAAATATAATTCTCATTTGATTCCAGGAGTTGGTACTGCTATCTGCGTTTTTTAGAGATGGGGAAACTGAGGCAGGTGGAGCTTGAGAACTGATTTGCCCAGGGTCACACAGGGCTAGATTTTAACTCAGGTCTCCTAACTCGAGTTCCAATGCTCTATCATCCACTGTCCTACCTAGCTTCCTTCTCTCTTCCCCCCACCCCTTTTCCCTATATAGATAGATATATAGATATGTAAAATGAAGGGATTACTAGTTTTTAGGGTTCCTTCCTTTTCAAAAGGTGCTGGAGTGCCTCTTGCAGGAAGCCTTCTTTGATTCTCTTCCTAGACTTCATGACACATTTTTCACCTTTTGCAGAAAGTTCCTGTATTAGAATTCTATCATATAGGCTGTGCTGTGTAGGATATCCTGTACTTGAGTCTTGTACTTCTGCTAGGTCTATAAGATCCCTGAAGGAGGGACTAAGGAGTCACTGGAAAGTGTTGGGAAAAGTCCTGGATTCAGAAGCGGAGGCTTGCAATCTGGCCCTGCTGCCACCTGTTTGCCCTCGGACAAGTCACAACCTCACTGGGACTTAAGGGGGTAGGATGAGATGATCCCTAAGATCTCTTCCAGCCCAGAATCCTGTGGTTTTGGCTTGTAGTGTGCACTTGATTGTGACAAGAAAGGGGAGACTTTTCATATATCAAAACATTATGGTACATTGGAAGCAATTCTGGAGTCAGGAGGGAGCTGGGTTACTGGCTTCTTGACCTAATTGAACTCCTTGCTTCAAGCCTTTCTCTACTTTAGCCCATCATCCTCCACCATGGTGATTTTCCCAAAGCAGAGATATGACAGAGTAATCCCCTGCTGTATATACGTTCAAACTCTAGTGGACCCCTATTACCTCTAGGATCAAATATGGATTTAGTTTGACTTTTAAAGCTCTTCACAACAGGGCCCCTTCCTGCTTTTCCAATCTTCTTAGTCATTACTGTCTTCCACACACTCTATGGTCCCTTCTGACCTACTTTTGTCTCTGTGTCTTTGTGTTGGTTGTCCCTCATGCCTAGAATAGTCTTCATTTCTGCCATTTGGAGTCCCTGACGTCCTTCGAAACTCAGTTCAAGTTCCATTTTCAGGAGGCTTTTCCTGTCCGCCTTCGGTTACTTCGTTATGTGCCTTGTATATGTCTTGTATATACTTATATATGTGCATGTTGTCTCCTCTGATAGAATGTGAACTCTTGGACAGCAGGGACTGTTTCTTTTTGTATCCTTAGTGCCTTGCACAATGCCCAGCAACTACTTAATAAAGGTTTATTAATTGACTCAATATCTCTGAGCCTCAGTTTTCTCATTTTAAAGGGGATAATAATACCTCTTTGCTGATTTTACAGATGGTATGATCAAATATAATACATGTTAAGTACTCCGTATGCTTTAAAAACTATGTGTCAGCTTCTCTTGTTATCTAAATGTTGCCTCTTCCCTTCTTCCTAGTACAGTGCTCTGTACAGAGATACATCGCAAATGTCAAATGAATTAATGCAAATGAGTGGGTTATTCATCCACTAACCTGGAGAGAGAAGCATAGAGGAGGAAGGAACTCAGAGATTATCCAACCTTCCAAGTTTTCCAGATGAGGAAACAGTCCCAGAGAAGACACTTCTGAAGTAGGGAGAACATTGGAGTAAAAAGACCTAGGCACCATAATGTGCTAGCTAGACCACTTCTTGCTTTCTGTGACGTGGAACAAATGACCTTGATGAAATAGACTTGGATTCAGAAGAACAGTGGGTTCAAATCTTGATTGTGCCTTGTGAAATTGAGCTAAATCCTGTTTCCTTGTGTGTAACATGGAGTTGAGTGCTATATAAATATGAACAGTGTTATAGCTAAACCTGGCCCATCTCCCCTATGTCTCATTTTGTCCTACCTATTCTAGCACCTCCTAACACCTCTTGCCTGAAGACATTGAGTTCTTTCCACAAATATTTATGTAATAAGGAATTTTGGAATGAAGATAATTCTGCCCTCAAGGAGTTTAGATTGTAAACTGGTAATAAAGTTCTACAGCTGAGATAGTGAAACTCCAAGAGCTTATGAAGAATGGTTGAAGGAGACTTTAGGTTACACAGATAATTGCTGGGGCCAAAGTGTCCAGTCCATTCTCATTTTACAGGGGAGGAAACAGAAGCCCAGAGATCTAGAGAGCTTATGTAGCAATAAATTACCAGGCAATTATTGAATGTCTACTATGTGCCAGGCAATGTGCTGGGCAGATCGAGAGACTTCAGGAATAAGTAAATTGTCTGGGCCAAAGTATCCAGGCATCAGTGATTGACTTCCTACTCTTTCCCCAGGCTATTCAGTCAGTACTCCTCACTTAGGAATAATAATAGCTCATATTTACATGTTTTAATGTTTACTAGACACTTTCCTCACAACAACAAAGGCAGTAGGTAGTACAGGTATTATTATTATCATTCCCATTTTACAAATGTAAGGGTTGGTCTTGGCAGTTCCCTAATCAACTTGATGAGTTTATTGGGATTGAGCTTTTGTTTCTAAACTTTTGACTGACTCCCCCTAGAGAGGGTATGGACATGCCAATTGGCACCTTGTTGAGAAGCCTTAAGACATCCGATTAAGTCTATGACTTGGGCAAACCCAATAATAACAGACTCCTGGGAGGTATTACCTTTTTGTGCTGGCCTTTAAAAGGGAACCAATAGACTACTTTCTGGTCTTCCTTTTGCCTTTCTCTTCTTTCTTTCTCTGAGTCTCTCCATCTCTGTCTCTCTTCCTCTCTTGGGGAATGTGTGGATTGAGACTCTGACAGCATGTGTGTGTGTGTCTCCTCCCTCTCCAGCAGCAGCTCTAGGCTGCACAAACGTGGCTGCAAGATTATATGCTTGATTGGGTGAGCCTAGGACCGGATCTCAAATCTCTGGCTGCTTTTTCTGCTTTGTTTCTTTTCCTGATCCCAGGTGACCAAGCAGCGATTCTGACAGCTGGAGGTTCCCATCTTTGATAGTGTATGGGACAAGTGAAAATTTCTTCAGCATGAGCTGGGCCTAAGTTTCACTTTCATTCTTGGGGAAGGGGGTTGTGCACCAGCTGCCCACCCCCTCCCTTGTTTTGTAACCACCCCCTCTGTTGTTTTGTGCCTTAACTTTACCAGATAAAGCAATCTTCTAGCTCCCAAGCTAGTTTTGAGTAAAATGTATCTCTTGGGTTCTGAAAGTAGACTGTGAGGTCTCTTGCTTCAGCCAATGAGGATAAAGAGATTGAGACAGACAGGTGGGGAGGGGCTTTTTGGAGTGGTTTGTCTAAGACTATGTACACTGCTTGCTGTTGTTTGTGCCTCTCCTCTGTACACCAGTCTGTCCTGGGTAGGAGATGCCCAACTCTCGCGTGAGACTTGCTAGAATAAGACCACCTGTTTTCTACCTGGAGATACCTCTGAGTTTTTATTTGGGTAAGTGGTCTCTATTCCACTCAATTGGTGACTTGTTCGGAATTTTCTTTGATTAGGGAGGGGGCTTCCTTGCTGGGGTCAAGACCAAGCTTGCATCCAAGATTTTTCGGAGGTCTTGAGCCCTGGAGGGAGGTTACCACCCAGTCATTGAAATATACCCGAAGAGAGGGACTCAGAGAAACAGAAGGTTTGTTAGGGCTCCAATGATTAGGGAGAAAACTGTGAAATTCGGGCCAGCTGGTTGCTGAGAGCAGTCACGTAAGTTGTACATGTGCAGCCCAGAGGTGAGCACTCAGGGGTCTGGAGGTAATTGGCACGGGTTGAGGGCCCTTTAGGACGACTCTAGTTTGGGCGGTGTCCGGGCCTGGTCAAATTTTGGAATAGATACCTCATCGGAAGGACGCCGTTGAGAAGGCCTCATGGGTGACTGGTGAGGAGTGGGCCACCCTCCTCGGTAATTTGGCTGAGTCTATCTTTAGACTCGGGGAGTTTGGTGACGGCTCCCATAAATTCCCTAGGTGAGGGCCTAGGGGTTCCCTAAGAATGGGAAAGGGGCAATCTAAATCAGCATAGCCGGAGCGCAAATGTTAGGTACCTATAGATAGTCCTTTAGGCAATTGATTGCAGAATTGGAATGGACTAGCAAAATAAAGAGGAAAACATAGGAAGAAAATGATTAAATATTGTTGTTTTATCTGGGGCAGAATGGATAACGGGGGTGGCACCA